AAATAGTACTATGCAAATCTTTTATGGTAGGGGGGTAACAGGCGTAAGTAAGTAAGGTTGTGGAGAATGTTGAATTTAATTGAAATCATGAATGGTTCTAAGTTAGATCACCATTTAAAACCTGGGAGAGTTGGACAGCCATCTCATCTTAGTATGTAACTCCTCCACAGTGTGCATCCACAACCTCACATCTAAAAATCTAAGTCAAGACCAAAGGCCTTAGGTGTGAACGTTTAACCTTTAGACAATTTAACCATGATCCAGTGGCGTAATAGTTTAACTTCAATGAATCCACAATATCGCGCGATCATCTTCCACTCTATTCGATAGGTATCTTCCTCATGCCTTACATGATTGAACCGCATTGATGGGATGAAATGGTCATCCAACAGTTCCAGGTTTTCAATAGTTATCTAACTTGGATAGATCTATGATTTCAATACAATATATACATATAAACTCGAAATAATCTTATGCGGACATTTAAACAGGTTAAGCGTTCATACACGAGACTGAAGGTCTTGGGTTCAAATCTTGCGAGCAGGATCGTGGACGCAAACTGCCGCCCAATGCTTCCAGGTTTTTCCATGATGGTCTAACTTCAATTGACTCATGATCTCAACTGTTGAAATGTCTACAATCTCCACAAAACCCCTTCAAATAATCAAAGGTCATGGGGGGCATTAAATAAATATAAAGTGCAAACAATTGTTATTCACATGAATCAATCAAATTGTCAATGTTTCATGAATCATAAAGAGAAATGAATCTGAGAACTCATAACCAAAACAATGATAGATTCATTCATTCATCCATTCAACTGGTTACGCCTTCTAATTAACAACATCATTCAAGAACATAGTTCTATTCAAGTGAATATATTGAAATGAACTATTACGTAATATAGAAATTATGTAATGATACTTGAGAATTTTATTAAAACAATTTAATTACATCTTTTGAAGAGAAAGATTGTGATAGTTTATTATATATATGTAATTAAATAGTCACTATAAAAGTACTTTTAAGGCATTTTGATTGAGATTATGAATTGAATGATAATAGACGATCGTTTCGTCCTATTATGGGACTCCTCAGTGGCAGTGTACATCCATGATCGTGCTCGCAGGATTTGAACTCAAGACCTTTAGTCTCACGTATAAACGCTTAACTTGTGGACCATTAGGTCGTTCAATTCATAAGAGTAATAGTCAATGGAAGATGGAAATTAACACATTTTACACTAACTAACCTCAGAATTTTTACAACTGAAGAACATCTGGAACTCAAAGCAACTGTCAATCAACACCAAGGTCAGGATTTTTAATACAAATGTCGAGAAAGTTCTACTGCATGGGACGGAAACCTGGAAAATTACGAAAGCAATCATCCAGAAGATACATGTGTTTATTAACAGTTGTCTGTGTAAAATACGTCGGATCCGTTGGCCGGACACTATTAGCAACAACCAACTGTAGGAACGAACAAACCAAATCCCAGCGGAGGAAGAAATTAGGAAGAAGCGCTGGAAGTGGATAGGACACACATTGAGGAAAGCACCGAACTGCGTCACAATACAAGCTCTCACATGGAATCGTCAAGGCTAAAGGAGACCAGGAAGATCAAAGAACACATTACTTTGAGAAATGGAGACAGACATGAGTAGAATGAACAAGAATTGGATAGAACTGGAAAGGAAGGCAGAAGGCAGAGTGGATTGGAGAATGCTGGTCGGCAGTCTATGCTCCATTAGGAGTAACAGGCGTAAGTAAGTACGTAACCTCAGAATTACTTAGTGGTTGTACTATATGCATCAAAGATGCCTATGAGTAAATAGTGACTATTTATTAACGTTTCAACATTTGTGATACGTTACACAAAGGCGTATTGAACAGTATACTCGGTCACTGATAGACAAGGATCTCAGCTACATCAAATTTGATGTAAGTTTGTAAAAGCCGACCAATTTTTTAGTAGTTATTCTATAATTTCATCGACAACCTACTTATCAGGGAGGTTGGAATATCTTAGTATAAGATGAATCCCTGAATGATCATTCGAAGAACCTGGTATCTTTAAAAGGATGTAGCTCCTAAGTTGAAAAAAATATGTATTTCCGAGTATAATAAGTATTAACTACCGGATAACTTATATTCATCCTATATATTCATCCTATAGAACAGCTCATTGATAACATAGTTGACTATAGCTCCAGACTTTACCGATCCATATTTCACAACCAGCGTCAATTCCATCAAGACTTAAATTACACATAGTTTTGAACAGTGTTAACTATCAGGGTACCATTAAGTCAAACAGAACTCCTCGTCAATTATCGTCAACTATCAAACAAATACTACGGGAATAATTATTATCTAATTTATCACAAGTACATTCCAAGTGTGAACTGGAGTCGGACAAGGCTGTCTGCTCTCACCCTTCCTCTTTTGGTGGTCGACTGAATTATGAAGACGTTCATATCTGAGGGAAAGCACATAATACAATGGATAGCTCGGAATCAATTAGAAGATTGCCACTTTGCAGATCACCTGGCCCTTCTATTCTATGCATACCAAAAAATACAGATCAACACAAGCAGTGTAGCAGCAGTCTCTTCATTAGTGGACGTCAACATACACAAAGTAAAAAGCAAGAACACCAACCCAGTCACAAACGAATGATGGAGTAGCTCTGGAAGAGGTTAAATCTTCCACGTACCAAGTCAGCATTATCACCGTTGAACATGGAGGTCAGATACAGGCTTGAAGGTGAGGATTGTCAAAGCAAGGGCCGCATTCCTGCAATTAAAGAATATATAGAACTCAAAACAACTGTCAACCAATATCAAAAGTTAGAATCTTCAATACAAACGTCAAGATAGTCCTACTTTATAAAGCTGAAATGTGAAGAACCACTACAGCCATGATCAAATGGTACAAGTATATATACACAATTGCCTACACAAAATACTCAATGTTTGTTGGCCGGATACCATTAGGAACAGCCTACTACATGAGAGGACAAATGAACTTCCATCTGAAGAGTAAATTAGGAAAAGACTGTAGAAATGAATAAAATATATATCACAGTTGATTGATCACTGGGTGGTGATCAATGTCATGCGTGTCTAGTCCTTATTAGTGCAGATCGAATGCTATCGATCATGTTGCAATGTGGCCACCAGTCTAGGTGACTCGACACTGCGGGAACTATGTAATGAGATTTAGATGGTGGTTGAAGGTAGTCGACAGGAAACCCTGAACCCGGGTTTCGTGCTACTTGGCACTCGTCAGTAAGGTGTACTTGTAATCTTGAGGGAACTGGTGCTCCCTGACGGATTCGATCTCGTGTCACCCAACCTCACAGTCAGAGACGTCCAGAGTTTCCTGTTGACTACCTCCAACCACCATCTAAATAGAATATATATATATTACAGAAATCATCAAACTGCATCACAAAGTAAGCATTAACTTGAAATTCTAAAAGGAAGCTGAAAAGAGGAAAACTAAAGTACACATTGCACTTAGAATTACAAGCAGACATGAAAAGGATACATAGAAACTAGAAACACTTGGAAACGATTCCTCAGGGACAGAGCTCCATGTAGAATAATGGTGGGCGGTCTATACACCTCGACAAGGGGTAACAGGCATAAGTCTATCTATCACATGACCAATTGTAATTATGAAAATAAAAAAAAAAAACAAATAAACAAACAACCACAGGTTATTTATGTCAACTATTTATCGAATTCAATTTAATTATTAATTATCATCATCCAGATATATGGAATTTTGTTTCCCCCCCAAAAAAAACTTCTGCCATTTATCTCCCTCTTTATTGATATACATGTCTATGATGATTAGTATTGTTATGATTGTCACCATCACCATCACCACCACCACCACCACCACCATTATCATCACCATCATTGTTGTTGTTGTTGTTAATCATTTATTATAATTCTATAATTCGATTGTACCAAGTTGTCATATTCATTGTTTATTTGTTTGTTTTCTCTTTTATTTCATATTAAAACTAAATCATTACACTTTCTATCTTATTTTTTTATTATTATTAATTTAGGGGAAAAGGGTCTCTATTCTCGCTTTTCATTATATATACATATATATATATATATATATCCATCTATAGGTATACATTGTATAGACTGCATTTACCTAGTTATCTGTCTATGTATTGATAGTAAAACAACAACAACAACACCACCGCCACCGCCACCACCTCCACCAGGAAAACAATTCTGTCATCTATTAGGATGGTATTATATTTTTTGAAAAAAAAACAAACAACAACCAAAAAAAATTGAAATTAAACCGACAACAATTTGATTAATTCATGTTTATACTAAAACTATAATCATTCTATACAATATTCTATAAATGATGTTAATAACTATGTGATGGGGGGTAAGGGGTGGTGTGGGGTGATGATGGTGATGTGTTTATGTGGGGGGGGGGGAAATATTCAATATTGAATTTGTTGAATATACAAATATATGACATTTGTATCTTTGTTTTTGTTCTTGTTGTTGTTGTTATCTATCAACAGAATTTTATGCGAATTTATTTAGTGTATATTAACGAATATTAAAAAAAATTCATAGATAAAGAAAGGTTAAACGGGGGAAAAAAGGAGCATTAATGTATTCCCTAGAGAAAGGGAGAATGTAAGTAAGTTAGGGTCCAAGTGAGGATGAATGAGTGAGTGAGTAAAGTGACATAGATGGTATACCATGAAACTTAGTCAATTCCCTTGAATATGAATAAAAAAAAAACATACATCCTTGTTGTTCTAATTATGAAATGAATAACTTCTATTGAATATAAATAAGTCTAATATAGAACAAGGTTAAAACTTATAAAATATGAACAAATGAAATAAGTACATAAAATAATTTGTATTCCATTGGGGAAGATTAATTATAAACAAATTATTTAAATAACTTTGATAAACAATGAAATAACAGAATGAATTATCTATGGGATATGGAATAGAATAATAAGGATGATGTTCGTCATCATTATCCAAATCATCATCATCATCATCATCATCATCATCATCATCATCATCATCATCATCATCATCATCATCATCATCATCATCATCATCATCATCATCATCATCATCATCATCATCATCATCATCATCATCATCATCATCATCATCATCATCATCATCATCATCATCATCATCATCATCATCATCATCATCATCATCATCATCATCATCATCATCATCATCATCATCATCATCATCATCATCATCATCATCATCATCATCATCATCATCATCATCATCATCATCATCATCATCATCATCATCATCATCATCATCATCATCATCATCATCATCATCATCATCATCATCATCATCATCATCATCATCATCATCATCATCATCATCATCATCATCATCAAATCATCATCATCATCATCATCATCATCATCATCATCATCATCATCATCATCATCATCATCATCATCATCATCATCATCATCATCATCATCATCATCATCATCATCATCATCATCATCATCATCATCATCATCATCATCATCATCATCATCATCATCATCATCATCATCATCATCATCATCATCATCATCATCATCATCATCATCATCATCATCATCATCATCATCATCATCATCATCATCATCATCATCATCATCATCATCATCATCATCATCATCATCATCATCATCATCATCATCATCATCATCATCATCATCATCATCATCATCATCATCATCATCATCATCATCATCATCATCATCATCATCATCATCATCATCATCATCATCATCATCATCATCATCATCATCATCATCATCATCATCATCATCATCATCCAAATCATCATCATCATCATCATCATCATCATCATCATCATCATCATCATCATCATCATCATCATCATCATCATCATCATCATCATCATCATCATCATCATCATCATCATCATCATCATCATCATCATCATCATCATCATCATCATCATCATCATCATCATCATCATCATCATCATCATCATCATCATCATCATCATCATCATCATCATCATCATCATCATCATCATCATCATCATCATCATCATCATCATCATCATCATCATCATCATCATCATCATCATCATCATCATCATCATCATCATCATCATCATCATCATCATCATCATCACCATCATCATCCAATCATCATCATCATCATCATCATCATCATCATCATCATCATCATCATCATCATCATCATCATCATCATCATCATCATCATCATCATCATCATCATCATCATCATCATCATCATCATCATCATCATCATCATCATCATCATCATCATCATCATCATCATCATCATCATCCAAATCATCATCATCATCATCATCATCATCATCATCATCATCATCATCATCATCATCATCATCATCATCATCATCATCATCATCATCATCATCATCATCATCATCATCATCATCATCATCATCATCATCATCATCATCATCATCATCATCATCATCATCATCATCATCATCATCATCATCATCATCATCATCATCATCATCATCATCATCATCATCATCATCATCATCATCATCATCATCATCATCACCATCATCATCAATCATCATCATCATCATCATCATCATCATCATCATCATCATCATCATCATCATCATCATCATCATCATCATCATCATCATCATCATCATCATCATCATCATCATCATCATCATCATCATCATCATCATCATCATCATCATCATCATCATCATCATCATCATCATCATCATCATCATCATCATCATCATCATCATCATCATCATCATCATCATCATCATCATCATCATCATCATCATCATCATCATCATCATCATCATCATCATCATCATCATCATCATCATCATCATCATCATCATCATCATCATCATCATCATCATCATCATCATCACCATCATCATCATCATCATCATCATCATCATCATCATCATCATCATCATCATCATCATCATCATCATCATCATCATCATCATCATCATCATCATCATCATCATCATCATCATCATCATCATCATCATCATCATCATCATCATCATCATCATCATCATCATCATCATCATCATCATCATCATCATCATCATCATCATCATCATCATCATCATCATCATCATCATCATCATCATCATCATCATCATCATCATCATCATCATCATCATCATCATCATCATCATCATCATCATCATCATCATCATCATCATCATCATCATCATCATCATCATCATCATCATCATCATCATCATCATCATCATCATCATCATCATCATCACCATCATCATCATCATCATCATCATCATCATCATCATCATCATCATCATCATCATCATCATCATCATCATCATCATCATCATCATCATCATCATCATCATCATCATCATCATCATCATCATCATCATCATCATCATCATCATCATCATCATCATCATCATCATCATCATCATCATCATCATCATCATCATCATCATCATCATCATCATCATCATCATCATCATCATCATCATCATCATCATCATCATCATCATCATCATCATCATCATCATCATCATCATCATCATCATCATCATCATCATCATCATCATCATCATCATCATCATCATCATCATCATCATCATCATCATCATCATCATCATCATCATCATCATCATCATCATCATCATCATCATCATCATCATCATCATCATCATCATCATCATCATCATCATCATCATCATCATCATCATCACACTCCAATTAATAAAGTATTCCACTTTGTATACAGTTTCATTCAACAATAAGTGATTTCATTAATTGATATCAGATTCTAGTTTAGTCCAGATGGATAATCTTCAATGATATGGATTGTTTTAAACTTTAATAATATGTTATCAAATGAGAATCAATCATTCGACTTTGAAAGGCGTTGAGTTTCGAACAAACAATAATAGTTTGTGATATGGTTAGTAACAAAACGTTTAACAGGTTTATTAACAAGTGATCATAATAAGACGGTGATCTAATCGAATATATTAAAATGAGAAACATAATAACTTAAATTCATACTGCTGATCTGTTAAATAGTGAACAATATCAGAAGGGGTTTTGTGGAGTTTGTTGTAATTTAAACAGTTAAGATCATGAGTCAATTGAAGATAGACCACCATGGAGTTCCACTGGGTCAGTTGTGACGTAGTAACTCACTGATGACAATGGTGAATGTGTCGCTCAATTTCGTGGATTAGTTGAAGCTAGACATTAACACCCCTGGTCTTGTTGATTAAGCGCCTGGTGCGAGACTGATAGGTCCTGGGTTCGAATCTCGTAGGGGGCGGGATTGTGTATGCACACTGATGAGGTATCCCACAATAGGATGAAACGGCTGTTCAGTGCTTTCAGGTTGTCCATGGTGGTCTCGCTTCAATTGACTCATGATTTCAACCAGTGAAATTTGTAAAAATCTCCACAAAACCCATTCTGATATCTTAAAGTATTGATAAGTAAGCTGTAAGAAAATGCTAAAGAATTGGTGAATTTCAATCTTAAGAAGGAAAGATATTATCGCTGAATGATTATTCTTGAAGATTCGTTCAATTTGAAGGTGACATTCACCTTTGGTCTACTTTACTTTGAGTACCATATAAAATGACAATGTATATATGCTATATATATGTTATGACAATGTACTGGATTGTTGTTTTATTTCAATATGGGAATCCTCAACAATCACTATCAAGAATTGTGACATCAACTGAATTTCCAATTGATATATTACTGAATATCAACTCAATCATTTTATGATTAAATGCTAACTGTAAGAACTGAATGTTCTGAATATGATCTTCGATAGAGTCATGAATGTATACTATTGTGAAGTCTTATCCTAAGACAAAACAAATGTTCAGAATTCTTTGGTTTCCTGTGCTACCTTGAATGTGATCAGTCTATGCAGAACACATCATTGTAATTGTTATTATTTATTATTGATTTTAACACATAGATATTGGTACAAGGAGGCAACAAATACATGTGCGCCACACAAATCTCATTTGATATATGTGAGGGCTGTGATACTGTTCGGGTTTCCAAACCGAAGTAAGTGGTTTTCTTGGGAGACCACAATCGGAGCCTTCGACCTGAAGATCTGATCCACAAGACAGTGGATCAACGTAATCAGATGCAGTCCCATGGTAGCCGGTGACCAACGATTGTTTCCTACGCCATTTGTTCCTTCAGGATCCTGGAGCCCATATGCACCATTGGTTTGGAATCAGGGTTTTACAACTCCCCTAGGTGGACTTTCCGTGTCCACCAACCCGGTTAAATTGCCGGACGTTCGCGTTTCGTCCTCCCAATTTTGTAAACAACAGTGATATCACGAGAAGGTAGTGAGTAGGACTTCCCTAGTAGAGGCTATATACGCGTGGCCATATGAGAGTATTTGGAGAGGGAGAGCGGACTCTCCCCACTCTTAGCCGTACCAGGGCATTTGGGGGCCATTGTTATTGTCTATGCAAATAAATCATCTAAATTGAAAGAAATATAAATAACAGTCTGATCATTTATTATTATTATTAATATTATGAGATGGTTTTTATGGAGATTGTAGTAATTTCATAGTTGAGTTCATAAGTCAATTAAACCTAAACCATCATGGGAAACCTGGATGAACTGAACAGAATACTATGGTGGATGACGGTGCGATTTCGTGTATTACTTGAAGTGAAACATTAATACCGTTGGATGTCGGTTCAGTGGTTTATAGTTTAAGCGCTCGTATGTGAGACCGAAAGTGTTGAATTCGAGTAACTTTCATGTAGGATCGTGGATGCTCACTACTGAGGAGTCTTATACTAGTACAAATTAGTCATCCAAATACTTCCAAGTTTTTTCATGATTGCCTTGATTACATTGTCTAATGAACTCAACTATTCACATTTATCATTATGTTGATACAATCAATCAAATTGGATCCTACAATTTGTCTTTACTGAACACTCTTTGTTGTCATGATTCATTTTTTTATTTATTATTTATTTCTAACAGTAAAAATACCATACACACCATCTACCTGTATCATTGAGATGATTACAATTATCACTAGGGAATATCATTGGGATAGTTCTATTCGTTCAGGGTTCTTTTGATCGTTAAGATAAGGGTCTTCATATTTTATAAGACATTCACCTTTAGCTTGTCTAATCTCTTTTTTCTTTCTTTCTTTCTATTATTCATAGATATGCAAGAGACTAATCAAAATCGTTTAGTATGTATGCTGTATAATATTTGCAGTATTTCATGATTTATGATCATAAGGGAAGTGAAGATACAATAAATTGAACTTACTTACTTACGCCTGTTAACTCTTCATCTTCAGTGGAGCATAGGTCGTCGATCAACATTCTCCAACCCACTTTGTCCTCCGCCTCCCTTTCTTATTCTGTTCAATGTTTGTTCATTCTTCTCATCTCTGTCTCCATTTCTTGATGCAATGTGTTCTTTAGTCTTCCTTATCTCCTTTGACCTCGAGGATTTCAAGTGTAGTTCGGTGCTTTCCTCAATGTGTATATTATTCACTTTCAGCACTTCTTCCTAATTTCTTCCTCCACTGGTTCGTTCTGGTTTGTTCTGTTCCACAATAGGTTGTTACTGATATTGTCTGGCCAACAGACAGTGATTATCTTGCGTAGGCAAATATTTATACATACTTATATTTCAATGATGATGGTTTTAGGTGAGTGATATGATGATAGTGAATAAGAAATATAAGTGGAGATAATCGAATGTGCTTGAATACACTTCATAAAATCTGTGAATCATTATAGTAAATGCTTAATGGGCAAAAATGTCAATCAATCATATTAGACTTGATGGATTCTTTGTTTACACATCAACCATTCTCTGTTCTTATTCTATTTTCTTCAATCTTCTTAACCTTTTGCCACAAGACATTTCATTTTCGATCCATGATACTTACTTATTTATACCTGTTACTCCCCCCCTAACGGAGCAAAGACCACCGACTAGCATTCGTCAACCCACTCTGTCCTCCGCTAACAACAGACAGTTGTTTTGATTTCCTCATCTTGTTCAACGATAGGAATACTGTCCTTGTTTTGTCGATCCTAATTGAACTTACTGTGTCAAATATATCTCACTGAATTGGTATGGACAAATGTTTATCAATGTACTGTAAATCTTGGTTTCTAGTATGAACACGTTTTGTTGTTGTTTATCTGATAGTTCAATATGGTTGAAAAGGATACAGAAATATTTGGATAGTACAAAGTAGAAAAAGAAAGAACAAACAAGAGTAGATGTATTTGTTGGCAATCTCGTGTATCGAAAGAACACTGAGATCGTACCAGGTTACAAGCGCGGTTACTGAGCGTAACCGAATCCGTGCAAGGTCACAATCAACGGAGAAAAAGAATGTCTTTAGTACAGTCAAACAAAACAACTACAGTAAAACAATCACTGGTACAATTGGTTATAAGAATAATAATTGTTTCCATTAAACCAATCGCGTTCCCTTGATAAAAGTAGATCGCTACATGAATACTACTGATATTACATAGTTACTTAAACTTGGATAGACAGAATGTATGATTCGAACTGTAGGCCTCGTTAGTTAAAAGCCTAAAACTTCAGTCAGTTAATCCTTATTTACCCAAGTGGAATTACTTACTTACTTACGTCTGTTTCTCTTAATGGAGCACAGACTGCAGACCAGTATTCTCCAACCCACTCTGTCCTCCGCCTTATTTTCTAGTTCCATCCAATTCTTGTTCATTTTTCTCATGTCTATCTCCATTTACCGATGTAATGTGTTCTTTGGTCTTCCTCGTCTCCTTTGACCTTCGGAATTCCAAGTGATGAGTGCTTGCCTTGTGGCACAGTTGTGTGCTTACCTCAATGTGTGTCCTATTCATTTCCAGTGCTTCTTCTTGATTTCTTCCTCCGCTGGAATCTGGTTTGTTCTCTTCCACAGTTGGTTGTTGCTAATAGTGTTCGGCCAACGGATCGAAGTATTTTGCATAGACAACTGTTAATAAACACTTGTATCTCCGCTTGGGGTCCTTCCGGGGGCTATTACTAGCCCCAAGCCCGGATAAAGGAATAGAGTTGGACATGGGGTTAGCGACCCTGATCTCGTAGAAAACTAACTCGCTAAAAACGCTAACCAGAAAAAAATTATTCAAAAATTATCCAAGTGGAATAGTACAAGTTTATTCAATTTTGAAGCTATACAAGTATCAAAAATTTCAAATAGAGTATCAAAGGGAAATATATGATTTACCATGATTACCTACGATTGATTGACGATAATTTTATCCATATAGACACTAGAGATGTTTTAATACCATTTCATTGATCTGAAATTGACATTTTCACCTCGTAATCTGTAGGTTCTGATTTGATCTTTATTAGCTTCATAAGTATAAACTTGTAAGTTTCACCTTTAGGCAGATTTGTGTTCAGGTTAAAAGTATATTTTGTACTGGGATAAAATGTGAGAAGTAGCATAAATGAGAGGATCTAGAAGATAGGAAAAGTCAATTAACAACTCAGTAACCATATAAATAACATTTATATTTAATAATGAAAGTAATCGCCAATAATTAGCAATAGTATAGGTGTAAGATTAAGATATTTTTGATATATCGAGTAATCACTTAATTGATCGTAATGTGGATGACTTATGAAATTAGTTTTTCCAATTGTTTGTAGTATGTAATCACAACTT